AGAAGTAAATAAAAAACATAAAAAGTTCTAGCAAAAATTAAAAAATTATTTTATTATTAAACGATACGTAAATTTTCGTAAATAGTGGTTGTAATTTCGAAGGAATACAAAAGTTATTGTTCAATAATAAAACGCGTGATGCTATTATTTTTAATAATAATACTCTTAATAAACCTATCAATATTTTTACAACAATAACGTGTAATAAAATACTCAGAAGGATTAAATAAAGAAACATAAACCGTCTAATAAAAGTTAAGGCATTCGCTGTATCGCATGCAGTTTCTGAAAGTCGATACGTAGCTGTATAGTAGAGTATCGATTAAAGTTAACGCGCGGTTATACGAATGGATTTAATGAATATCGACTATAATCAAAACTTCAATTACAGTCTACTTCAGGTATTTTCTTTTGGGATATACAATGAGTACTTGAAAAAAAAGGAAAAATTTGAATTATTTAATACAATAATAAGAAGGAAACGGATTTTTGATTAAATACATTTATTGCGTAGTGTACTACATTCCAATGCCAAGCAGAATAATGGGAATATTTTGTAATCAGTATCTGCTAATTGAAGGTATTACAAAACTGCAAAAAATAGCAAGACTTATTAAATTATAAATAATTTTAAAAATGTTATATAACTTGTAAGTAACATTCTATTTACGATTCTGTTCCTACAGTGTACACTGTGCGCTAATAAAAATGGCTGCCGTTAAGTTTGGACCGTATTTAAAGGAGTTACGAATTCTTTTATGTCAAACATCTAAAACTAGTGAAGGTGTTAGGTAATAATATTACTACTTATTGGGATATAAAAATCGCTATAAGATATAATAATTATCCTTGGTTTTGATGTTTGAAACCTAACCTATTTTTCAGAGATTTTATCCAAAAGCAGTATGTGCCTCTTAAAAAAACTAATCCACAGTTTCCAATCTTAATTAGGGAATGTTCTTCAATTGAACCGTTTCTATATGCACGATATGGTAAATCATGTAGTAAAATATTTTACCTAACATTACACATTATACATTTGTAATAATCGTTTCAGTCAACTTTCACCATTGCAAATTCAAGTTTCATTTAATAAGTAATTTTTGTATTAATATATTTATTAATTAAAAAATTACATATTTCAGAATATGGTGTAGAGCAATGTATACCTCTACAAAATTTAAAGTCTGATGATATACTTAAACACATTAAGGATTTGGCAGCTCAAAAACCCACAAAATAAATGTTCTATTATAAATGTATCTTAATTTATTTAGTAATAAAATAATATAATATTGAATAGCTCTTTAAACTTAATTACATTATGTATTATGATTATTATTAGAAATAATTAAATAGTACATTTAGATACAATGTTTACATTTTTTTTAAATGTTGTGATTAAACCTTAAATTATGACTATCATAATTAAAAAAATTAATAATTATTGTTATAAAATATCTTCTTCTTAAAAACATATTTTTTACTTTCTGTAGATTCTTGGCTTTTAGAATTTAAAACAGATTGTTGGTCCAAGAAGAATGACATTTGTTATTTATGCACCATTACTCATTATATTTCCAACATTTATGATATTAATATATGAAAGAAATTATTTATTAAGGAGATCAATCTTTCTTTCATAGCATTAGCAATTTTTTTTTACATATATCTGATCTCACCATATTAAACCATCCCATTATCTCATTATTTCAACGTTAGTTGTATTTTCTTACTTGTTTAAACATAATACTGTTTTTAGTTTTGAGGTCAGCATAATACAATATTTAAGACATAAAAAATTACATAATACAAATTTATGTACAACACAAATTTCATAATTGAATATTTCAATTACACTACAATACATATTATAATATCAAAATTATAAAAAAATTTAGACATTACGGTTACAATGTTTCTGTGTGTTG